TATCCCATTCGATCATCAGTTATATGAAAGAAGAAGATGATGTCGCAGAGGACGAGCCGGAGGCTGAACCAGTCACTGTCACCGAAGACATCGCTCACTCCGAGACCAGCTTGAATGCTGCCGCTGCTGCTGACCCCGCTCAATCTTCTGCAAGTACTGTCGCTGTAGACTCCTCGAGCAAGCCGGCTGAATCCTCAGGAGTGGCTCCACCGCCTCCTGCACAATCCTCGGTTCGTGCCCCAGAGCACAAAGCCACCCCTGAACCTGCTCCCGCTCAATCTGCTGCTCCGTCTCAGGTGAACGGCTTCCATCCGGAGCCTCGCGAAGCCAAGCCACCAGAGCCGAGCACTGAACCGATCAAGGCTGCATCCAAGCCCCCCCAGACCGATGCCTCACCTGCCGCCCCCTCCACGGATGCTGCTGTGAGCACCCCGGCCCCAGCAGCTGCCGCGTCGGTTGCTTCATCTGCTGCCACCCCTGCGGAACCTCCCAAATCCAAGGTCGAGGCCCCCGCTCCCGCTGTACCCTCAACCTTACCCACTCCGGCTAACGCAAACGGGAGGCCAGCAGCCCCCCAATCTAAGCCAGCAGCAGCCCCAGCGCCGGCTCCTCCAAAGCCCCTCGATCCTCCTCAACCGGCCGCTCCCAAAACCTGGGCCAGCTTGGCTGCTAGCGGTAAGAGCGCCTGGGGCCAAGGCCATCTCTCTGCATCTCAGGGAGTATCTTCCGCACCAAGCGCCGCCACTCAGGCAGCCACAGAACCTACACCGGTTCAATCTCAAAACCGACAACCCGGTGCTGGGCCTCAACATCCCAATCCAGGTTTGTATTTTCGCTTCTGCTTGCTTGTCTGTCCAAGCCATGACTGGGCTACTAATTTAACTCACCAGATCGGTATCCTCCTGTAGCTTCGATTACCACTGGAGCATGCTTCATCAAGAGTGTCAACGAGAACATTGATGAGAAGACGTTGAAGGAGCAGCTGCTCAAGAAATTCGGCCCGATCAAGGAGTTGGATATCGTGCGTAACAAGGCGTGTGGGTTCCTTGAGTTTGAACGTATCGACTCGGCCAAGAAAGCGATTCAGATGTCGATGCCATTCAACATGGGTGGCAAGGGTGGAATCCCGATCGTGCTTGCCAGTGGTGAAGAGTATGTGATCAATGTCGAGAGCAAACGACAGCCGGGTGAACGCGGCCGTCCGGTGGACGCTGGGCCTAAGCGTGGCTTCAGCGACCGTGGAGGACGCCCGGGAGCGAACAACTTCGGATCCACTGGAAGCCGCGGTGGACGCGGTGGGATGGATAACGGCCCCCGAGCAGCCGGTCGAGGCGGCGCTAACACCCCCAGAGGTGGTGCTGCTGGCAGGAACCTCACCAACTCGAAATAAAAGTCCACTTTCATTTCTCGAAATCAAAGTCCACTTTCATTTTCTTCTCACTCTCGTTCACTGTGCCCTGCTCCTCCACTCGTCCCTCTTCTCCCACTCCCCCCCTGTTTTCTTCCAATTATCCCCCCCCCCCCGAACCCCCCTTATGCAGTCTTGCTATGCCGTCCTCACTCCCTTTCACCGTTGTCGTCAGTTTTTCCAACTAAAACGTAGTCCCCCTCCCCCCTCCACCCCCCCTCCCCCTCCTCACCAAACTTACCCCCGTTTCTTTTCTATGAACACGCATGTACTCCTGTCTCCTTCGATCTCCCCGGTCGCAAAGAGATGGTAATATATAATAACCATATCATAAACAAAAGCAATACATTGCAATTCTTCCGTTCAATATATGATATACATATATATATGTATGTATGTATATATACAGTCCACATATATATGAGTATATATATATAAGTACGAAACATTCTATATGTCTTTGTCTGAGAATATACAGTTCGTTCGATCGATTCCTTATTATAGACCATCCCCCACCAAGATCTCTTCTTCTCCCCTTCCTCTAAGTTCTTACGTCTCTCTTCGAAAGAAGAAGAGAGAACGAACAGACACACTATGAACGTCCATACATTAGAAAAAGGAGTCTTCAGAAAAAAACATCATCATTATTATCAGTATCATTATCATATTAAAAGCGCTTATAAACAGAATAAGTAAATGAATGGAGGACCCTTGATTTGTTTTTCCTCACATGCGTTTCTCTCGTCGGATTCAATCGGTCCTCATCCTGCCTTCATTATGTCTCTCTCTCTCTCGATCTCGTAACCCCCGCTACTATATGCTATTTCTCTTTCGCTTTTGTTTCTGTCCCGGTTTCTCTCTATCTTGCTCGTCATGTTTGAACTCATCTATTCCTCTGCTTTAGAAAACAAACAAACACCATCCCTTCCCTCTTGTGCTCTATTCCACCCTTTGTCAGCTTTATTCTTCTTTTTTTCTTTCTTTTTTCAATCAATACATACATGATCTATTTTATATACACATTTCTATTTAGATATAGATGTCTTTTAGCTTTCTTCCCTTCTTTTTATTCATGAATATATTTACACATATACCCCTGTTTTTCAAAAGGTCTCTTATATTTTGCTGCCACCCACCACTTTTTTTTTCGAAAAAACAAAACAGTGTTTTTTTTTTTTTTGTTAATAATCATAATAAATATACATTTTTCTGTATGTTTGTGAGATGGATGTTTCTTCTCTGTCCACTGAACACATCACCCATCCTGAACTTCCCCATTACAATTACTGCTATTACCTTATTTGAGTTTTTTTGGGCTATTTGTAGTCTTTCTCTCCTATCTCTATCCTCCTACCTCCAAGTCCCACCACCCCGGCATTCTCCCACTCTCTCCTTGTCTCTTTTTTTTTGTTTTTGTTGAAGAATCAATTCCAAAATTAAGTAAAATTACAACATTACAAAAGGGGTTTCTTGAGGTATTTATATAACTGGATGAGAACAATTTATTTCATTAAAAGGTTATTTATTGTGTTTGTGTTTTATAAATGAAAATCTTGAAATTTATCTGGAATTTGATTGAAAGCTTCTGAAACGCGTTCATTAATACCCATGAATAATGATTGAGGGAATGAGTCGATTAGATGCAATGGTTTTTCTTTTTGCCAGCAATCAGGATGATAAGCAAAAAAGGACCAGTTCGGAAAAAAGGGAGCCGACACAGGCGCGGGGTGTCGGCATGAAAAAGGAAAACCTGTCATTGGGAGTCGAACCCAAGTTACCAGGAGATCGGTCAGGGCACTGGGATCCAGTGAATTGAAGGGTTTCAAAACCTGGTGTCCTAACCACTAGACGATGACAGGCGATGGCTGGTGTCGTAATACTGGCGATACGAACTCCTCCATAGCTTCTTAGGAGGCGCTTCAATAACGAGATGGTTAATTGCACGATCCATGGTTCACTGGCTCTTTCTTTCTTTTTACCATTTCTTTCCCACCTATAGTGTCATCAACCGTAAGTGGTGTGCATGGGAAAAGGAAAGGGAAGGGGAGCGGGGATGGAGAGCAACGCCCAGGGATACAAAACAAGCAATCGATTAGTATGAGACAAAGAAGATGAAAGAGGGTGGGATGGTTTGTATGCATTCAATTTCAGGCCGAAGACGATCTTGATCAGGTGCGTGAGTCGTTGCAAAACAGCAGGAAAGAAGGGTTGGGGTACATCGTGGAGATCGGACTAGTACGATGTTGATGGTGTGTGTGCGTGTATTGAAAGGGAGAGGGGGCGGTTGCGAAGACAAGACTCGACTTACGGTGCGTTGGACGCATTGTTTGAAACTCACGAATTCCATCAAACACGAATCTTTCTCAACTTGTTGGTAATTCGTCGCCACGCATTTCCCATAAACCGACGCCTTTGTGAACATCGAAAAACAACGATCAAACATACATGCAAATAAGTATAAATGGTGTCAGTTTTTTTGAGAGCAGGATATAATGAACAAAAGAAGGAGGAGGGTACCGCTTGATGACAGGGTCCATGAGACCCAACCGATTGAGAGAGACGTGTTAATGGGCTCCGGGCCGTTGAGACCGGCGCGACGCCTTGCGATACCGATTGAAGATGGGGACGGCTGAGCTGCATCGTCACGATAGATCGGATCCGAATTGTGTGTGTGTGTGTTTTGCTCCAACGAAGTCGTGGCTTCTCTCTTCAACGACGGGTTCTTCGTGCAGGCTGTGGAGGGCTGTGGGGATCCAGCGGAGGACAAGTCTCCAACAGTTTCACAGGGGGTGTCACACTAGGCAATACCAGACCAGGGCACAACGGCACTGCTCTAGTGGGACCGAAGTTCCGAACCCAAGAGGGCTCCGTAAAAGGGTTGGAGTTCTTGCATAACTTTGAGAAGTCCCCATGGTCTTGGCCAGAAAGGTTTCAACCTGCCCTGCTTGCCTCCAGACTCACTTGTCCCAGAATTGTCAAAGCTATAAGGGCTTCTAGTTACTCATGCAAGAATCATTGCCAATGATATGATCATCAGATGGTCTTAGGAGGCCTTGATCAAGATCAAAAATTAAATAAAACTGCACCCTACTCTGCAATCTGAGACTTACCAAGAAGGATAGCTCTGGGATTATCTTGGTAAAAATCCAACAGACTCAACCCTGAGCTGTTGGGTCAGACCCCTACTACAGACTGGCCTCAGGATGATCAAGCTCCAGAAGGCCTTGTCAGAGCATCTCCAATGGTCTGCGGGTGAATCAGCTTGGGTTTAGCAGTCTGGATTAATTGGGAGATGATTTCTCATTCTAAGATCCTGATTGAGTATTAATTTTGACTCAATATGGAATAGAGGAAGCTTAGCTTAGTGGTATGTTGTGGAGTCATCATAGATTCATATCTAATTACGATTGGTTCAACATACCCTAACCCAAGGCTGAAAATTGGAGCATTTCTCATGAAAACCACAGTAAAATACAGACTACAGCCTGAGCACCAATCAATATGAGGCCTGTGTTCTTTTTTTGAAAAAAAATTGTTGTGGTGAATGGTTCACTCATCTGACTGAGATGAAACACTGCCTAGATGAACTGGTTGGACAGTCATGTCTGAGAACTTGTTGGACTGCCCAGTCCAAGGACTTGTTGGACCGGCCGGTCCAAGCAATCATTCAACCCAGTAGGGGGTATCAATTATAACCAAATCCACCAATATTTAATTCGCTGCTTTGAAGAAATTAACCATTTTTTAAACATGTTGGTTCTACATTTGACCCCTTTTGGGGCCCATTGATGCAAAAAAATTGTTTGGGCAAAGTGACTGGTTTCTAATGGTGGATTTCCTATATTTGATACCCCCTAGTGAAACCATAATTATACACCACCTGATCCAATCCTGGAAAACATGCAATGAGTGATGAGTCTTGATCACAAGCAACACTGGGTAGTTGCATTACCCCTAATTGTAGTGTCAAGATAAAGTAGTGAGTTTCTATGTACTCATTATCATTACCTTCCCCATAATGTTTGGAAATTTTTTGCACATTAAATTATCCATTTTGCCTTGGATTTTTTTTTCATGCTTGTGACACTATCATCAACTTGTATTTTTTTTTTTGAAAAAAAAAAAACATAAATAATGGTAAGACATGTGATACTTTTTGGACATTCATGGCATGTGTTGCTACCACAGCTCAAAAAGAGAGGCTTTTTGCCACTGAAAAGGTGTTAAGGGTTTCTTAACCTCTGGATAATCTGATAATTCATTACTTTATCCATTCATTACACACAAAACCTTCACCATTACATTACTGGCTAAAAGAAAAATTTGCCACTACAGATAATGTTAATGTATCAGGGAAAGAATCAAGTGCACTACATTACTAAGATAATGCAGATAATTTGGCCCAGTGTTGTCACAAGGACAAGTCCATGAAACGTTTGCGTGATAAATACAGCTTCCTTATTATTTGAAATAGACTTGCACAAATGTTAGAAAATGTGGAAAGAGATGAATACAGCACAAGGTGCCCACATAAACCAAAACAAGTGAGAAAAACTGACTAATTTAAAAAAACATTTCTCAATGGAGAGGAGAAGTAAAATTTTCAGTTGTGGTATCAGGGGGGGGGGGAAGGTGGGAGTTTCTTCTTTTCTTCTTTCTTTTTTTTGGAAGGGGGAGAAAGAGAGGGGTGAAATGTTTTATCAGTCAAATATTCCTCAATTCACTCAGGCTATCATACTGTGACTTTTCACTAAAAAATAATCACTACCATGTCACAAATGTCACATCTTTGGATTGTTGATGAAGATGATACATGTTAAACCTACTGTAGCACAGATTACAGAAAATACTCAGCTGAATTGAACTCCTGAATTGCTATTGTGTTTGAGTGTTGAGTAATGAGACATCTACTGAGGAAGATATTGATAGGTTTGAGAAGTTGGTCCAAATCTAATGATTTGTTTATATCCAATTGTCATTTTGAATATTTAGATTAACAAGGACTCATCACACATCACATGAATCCAAGTAGTTAGCTTCAATTTCCTGAAGTACTAAAAGAATCTAGTTCATCACAATGGGTCTAAATCTCAGCCTTCTCAGATACTCAGTATTCTACTGCTTTGTTTGCAGGATTGGTTTGGCTCATCCAGCATTTCCAGTATCAGATTCAGAAAGTGGCTTTGAATTTAATTTTGAGTCAGCCCAAGGGGATCTCTTTGAAGTATTCAACAGGGGAAGATTGCTCAATCAAAAGCACCTTCCAGAACTTCAATCATCAACCTGCCAAACAGAACAATTGGGTGATATATCCCTTAGTGTCCAGTTTGGCAGTCAGAGTAGACATCCTAGTCACTTCCCGGGTGAGATAGATCATTTTTCCAGCTTGTGTCCTGTTTTTCAGTAATTCCTTTTTCTTAGTTTTTTTTCTTTTCAACCAACACAATCCAGAAGATTTCTTATTATCAGACAGATCCAAGAGACAAAAGACATTGCAGTATGGCACTTGTGATGACAACAGTCTACAAACTTATCCAAGGGGTGAAAAATCTTCTGTTTTTAATCCTCATCAAATGTCCATGATACCTGGAAGTCAACATGAAATAGATAATCATAAGGAAATAGATGATCACACAAATAGTCCTAGGGCCCCTGCAGGTATACAAGAATATCAAATGAATTATGAAAATTTTCAATTTCCTAGCTTTGCCTCAACTACATCACTGCAAAGCCCCAGTTTCCAAACAAAGTTGCATCAAAATCAAAATCCTGAGAATCTAGATCTTCAGATAGGAATCAAAAATTTCAAAAAATTAAACTCAAATTTTGTGGCTGAATTGAACTATGATGTAGATGGGAATTTAATTCTTGAAGCCCCTGAAATATATTGTTTGCCAAAAAATAACTTAGAATTAGGACACATTGATCCAGAATTTCTAACATTCTCACAGCAATGTGAATTTGGGGAACTCTCAGATTTGGAACTACCTGGAGAGGATCACATCCCCCAATTTCAAGATAATAACAAAGATAGAAGTGAGTTGAAGCTAATTTCATATTGAAACAAAAGGAAACATAAATTGATAGTTCTTGCAAACATTTTCACCACCTTCTTTCAGATCATTTCTCTAGTGGAATCTACCAGCCTCCTTCTGCACTTCATCTTTCTCATGAAGCTTATAACAACATTCAAAGCACTTTGAAGGAAAAAGCTAACCATAAAAAACAAGAAGATGTGGAAATAGTCCCAAAAAAGCCAAATGAAGATTCAATTATTCTGAACCAGATTCAAGAGGGGTTGGATATACCCACAGTGTCAGAAGAAGAGATAGAAAATTTCCTATACAAAAGACGTTATCCCAAATGGCTAAAGCATATGAGTGATGAATTTTGGGATGGAGTTGTTCACAAATTTAGGAAAAAACTTTTGGCAATATTTCATAATCACAATAAGGGACATGTTGTTAATTTTGATTCAATGAAGGATTATCCAGTCAGGATAATGTGTAAGAAACAAACCAAAAAATATGAGATCAGAGTGTTATATAATCACACAAGTAATCATCCAAATCAGGAATCCACAATTCTGAGAAACAGAAAACCAATTTATGTTTCATTGATTAGAGTGATAGAATGGCTCATATTGATCAACAAGTCTGTATTGATCAATGTTTTTGAAAAGGGAAAGAATCAACAAGAAGAATATGATTTTCATCACAAGATTTTAAACTGGTTTTTTGATCAAGCATTCAATCCTGGAGGGAACAACCTACCTATTCTTGGAGAAACTGCATATATTGAAGAAGGCATGAAATTTGGACCAATTCAGTCAAGATTATTGGATTATCTTTCCCATGAAGTGAATCTAATCAAAGCACTTGAATTGTCTATTTTTCTAATCAAATTTTATTATGATAATTTCCAACCTGAAATTTCCAATTGGCTACAGAGAATTAATGAAAACAAAAATTTGGATATGCTATTGAAGAGGTTTATGTACAATGGAATTAAGTCAAAATTGGTACTCAATAAACCAATCAGAACCTGTGATGACTCATTCAACCAAGTGGGTAACTTCAGAATCCCCCCCTTGAGTCTTTTTCCAGAATCATTGAAACCACAAAACTTCAGATTTTTGAACATGTTTAAATTTGAAACAGAAGCTATTTTGACAAACTTTAAAAGAATTTGGAAGCAAGTTGAAAAGGAAACTCATAATAAGAGGTACAAGATTGAATCCAAAGATCTTCCAGTTGTAGTCAGGAGATTTGTTTATGATGAAAATAGAAAATTATTTCAAGGGTACATTTTTATTACTTCAGATACACGAGAGCTTATGGTCAGGAGGAAAGTCCTGTCTAATTGGAATTTGTTGATTGTACACTTGAAAGCATGTCTCATAGGTTTGGAAGAAACGTTCAAATCAAGTAACAAAGATTGGGCGGAGAAGATACACACAAGACTATTTTTTGAATGGCTGGATGATTTGATACTCAGGCAAAGAAAGGATTCAATTCCATTGTTTGGACATTTTGCAATGAAAAATAGAAATTTCTTGGAAGAACCTGTTTGCTCCTCAGATTTTTCTGATATTCAGATATTATTAATCAATTACTTTAGTAATTCAAAGACAAATTCCTCAGTCATCCTATGTGCACTTTCTTTGATTGGTTATTGGTACAAAAATCAGTACAACCTAGAATTCAAAACTTCTTTCAAGGATGACAAAGATTATTGGGATTCTGTGGTCCCAATTATGAATGATCTGTTCAATTTCAAAGATCACTATTCTTTCAGGGCATTTTATTTAAAGATTGAATCTAAAAAATATGGTCTAATGTAATTTGTTGATGTTTTGTAACAAAGGAAATCTCATTATTTGGATTGCTTCAAGATGAAATCAATTGCAAACATTTATACATGCATAATTCATAAATAATTAAATCTTGTTTGGTGGGGAACCTCCAGATTGCATAAGAAGATTGTCACAATTCTCTACAAACAAAGTTTCATGATTTATGAAATATGCATGCAAAACTGCCCTTTTGCATCTCTCTCACTCAATCACACATTGCTCCCCACCCATTGTCCAAATTTCTTTCCCTTCAACTTATTCATTTTCCTTATCATATTAGCATTGATCTCACTTTTTTTTTGTCATATTTGTAAGAACACCAACCCTTCCTCTGGGTTTTAAAAGAAGGAGTACTGATGATACTGCTCTGTACAAGAATACATTTTGGAGTATCATGGATCATCCATGACACTAACACTACACAAAAAAAGGCTGCTGCCACGGCAACTACGCTAACGCTAAATGGCCCACTAGCGTAGCGGCCCAGTGTTGATGGATGGGACCAGGAGGCCCATCATAAAACTTGGAGCTAAATAGCTCTTTTCAAGGTCTGGTGGAGGAAGAAGCAGAAAGCCCCTGACCACATGTGTTAGACAGAAAGAAAGGAAAGACGGCAGTCTTTCTGCTAGTCAAACTGGCAGATCAGATTTCCACTGTGAAGATGACATACACCCACAGGCTAACATTTCCCCACCTAACTGCCCCCATCTTCCACACCAGCATGCTGACTTTAGTCACAAGGCCCTCCTTTTTAGACTTGCTTTACAAGGGGTTCTTACTGCCTGCCTGGCTATACCAGGCCCTCCAATCAAGGGGCTTGGGTCAAGTTAGAGCATTAGGCAGCATTGAGCCAAGAATGACAGGATTAGACACACTTTGCTTATGGGTTGGGTTCACCTTTTTCAACCCAAACCTGAACCAGGACAGAAAAGTCTGAACCTCTCCTTTGGAGTCTAGATGGCAAACCACTAGGCTTGAAGTTTACACTAAAAAACTATTTCATCCCAAGGAGTTTTGTTTACATTTCAAACATCTAGTTATGTCATGGCAAAATATTGAGGTAGGGGACACAATCTGACAAGACTTCCTTGATCAGAGGTCATACTATGGTTCTAATCCAGTGCCTTGGAAGTTGGAGTTGGATTCCACCCATCCCAGCACATATCCAGCAAAGCCAGAGGGTTCCCATGCCTAACACAAGCCTCTTGAGCAAGAGCGCAGAGGGCAGCCCCGCAGGGTCTCTGTCTCACAGACTGCGGTCGGCGGAATTCGACGGTGTTTCACCACTGTGCATGCCAAGAGGTCTCCAAGCCAATGCCACACCCTGATCCGATCGGCGGTTTGCCCGCTTTCGGACCGGAAGCCGAGCTCATACATATTCAGTGGCCTGTCGAACTCAACCTTTTTATGGTCATACCTGGTCATACTAATCATCTGATTGATACGATGGGGGCACGTGTTTGTTTGAGCACGTTTTTTTACTTGAAGCTAAGAAGAGGTCTATATATACATATGAAGCGACAGAAGTCAAACAAAAATGAGAGATGAAAAGAGGGGGGGGGGGATCTAGCTAGGAATGTAGGCTAATCCGCGAAGCTCATTTGGCATCAAAGACCCAGCCTTGAGACCAGGTCTTCCGAGGAAGAACAAGGCGACAAGATCAGGTCGGTGATGAGTTCCAAACGAGCATTAGAAAGACCAGTCGTGCTTCGCTCTAGCAATCGACGCCATATAAAATAAAAGCATGGGGATCCCGACCGGTTCGTTACACCGTTCAGGGCTTAAATCTTTGGTAAGTCGATGCGTTCAGTTTTATATGTATGCAGAAGCGGACCACTGGGGCGTAAGAAACGCTTCTTATACTCGAGCCAAAACTCAGGTGACTGTCATCGTTCTTGACCTAACGTTTCCAACTGGACTTCAGCTTGTGGGGCGCGCAGCTCGATGCTGCAGATGCATATTGCACAATTCAACTCGAGGTTTACGACAAGCCTTGCCGGTCATCAAACCAACTCACTTTGGTTTCCACAGATCCAACACTGACATGTGCCCGCCCTGTCAGGATGCCCCTCACTGAATATATGCGTCCCCCTCTGATCATCGGCGCTATGTATCCATTCCCTTCCACCATAACAATACCATCACTTGCATCAAAAATGGATGAGTATGTAAGTCAATGGAATGGTTTGCAGATGGCCAAGATGTTCTACATTTATTGCTACATCGCTTATTTTGAGGAGAGATCAAAATCAACAAGGAGCATCATCTGCTGCCAAAAGCGAAGCACTGGCACAATTCGCAGTTGGGCTGGAGATTGGAAGTGGATTTTCTCCGAGAAAATGACATCCATGAAAGACTTCTTTCAAAGTATCCCCAAAGATACCCCAGAAACAGGCATGCCTGAAAAAGTTTGCCCAACTCGTCCCTGACTCAAACTAGCCGGGTCCAATTGTGTACCAGGTCAGCCCATTTTTTTGTAGGGAGGGCCAATTGGATAATGACCCATTTGTTCAATTCTTGTCATTGAATTATGGCACATATGTAGTGGACAAAGCCCTAAGTTACGTATATACAATGAAGGCATTGGTGTTCTTGATTCTTGACACAGGTTTAAAAATACAGAAATTCTTTACATTCCGGCAGGTTTTCTTTCGATGCAGTTACTTCTGAGCATGCTGTCGTAAGGTGTGTAGCTTTTCTTGATCTGAAGTGTCAATCATGAGCTCAAACATCATCAACTCCTGCGTGAATATCAGCACGATGAAGAGTGTTGAAGTTGCCACCCACCTGAAAGTTGTACTTCAACTCGGGTATACAACACCAGCCCGATCTGCCAGCCTTGCAGGGTTTGAAGATGTGGTCGTGTGAGTGCTCCGCTGCTGTGACTGACCAACCGCAAAAAGAAAACACATTAATTAGTCGATGGTTGATGCTCAAATATCCAAGTTGGAGAGAAATAGTTCAACTCACTTTCCCAAGAGAATGGCTTGGAAATATCATCATTACGGACTGTGGTGACCCTCCCGCAATAACCATTGGGATGATACGGTCCACATACTATATCCTTAGCGTGGACGTTGGTAAGGCCGAAAAACGCTGCGAAACAAATGGCCGATTTGAAGAAGTGCATGACGTTGAGGTACTGAGGGAAACAAGAGCGCCAAGAGTTTCGCAATCAAAAAGCGCAAGCGGCGGTGTTAACTTGTGTGAGGAGCGCGTTCCGTAGAGTTGACGTGGAGGTGGAGTGAGAAATGAAGTATATGTTTGTACAAGAAGGTGAGGGATGGGGATGGGGGTGGAAGCCTTGGACAATCTGCCGCTTAAATTGTTTGCAAGAGTTTTAGAAGACTTCCCAATGTACTGGGTCCTTGTATGAAGCCACATTCCTGAGGTGATTGTTGCTGGGGTTCAACACCTTGGCGTAGGATTGTTGTTCAGGGTCTGCACGGGCACGATCGTAACTGTCCCAAAGGCGGGGGCGACTCCGCATTCCATCAGAGATCCCTCGCGGCAGTGGGGCATGAAAGCTATCGGGCCCTCTAGCCGCGAGGGACTTCGATAAGCTGGCTCCGCCTTGTTCTTGAAGTTGGGGCCCTTTCATCTTTCAATTCCGCCTCCGGGATTACATGGTGCTAACTTATCACAAGTCCCTTGCCTGCAGTCGGTTTTTCTGCGCGCGAAGCGCGCCCTCCCGCAGGGAGGGACTTGCGTACAAAGTCAAAATTTGGGCTGGCACAGGAAATAAAAATGGCTGGAGTGAAATTTGTTAAGGCCCTGGCTCCTTATCCTAATCCTCAACAAGCCTGGCTCAGAGCCAGATTGTACTTTTGGGTCCCAGCTTTCATTTGAAGGTGGTCTCATCCCTTCATTTGCCCTGGTTCCCCGTCTACATTTTTTTGAAAAATGATTTTTCCTCAAAAACCCAAAACAACAATTGACCAAGATCCACAAGGAAATCAAACTTAGAGTCCCAAATGCTCATTGAGATGATTGACAAAACTGTCTATTCATAATTTCTTTCAAGTAAGTGGTTTTTTCAGAAAAATTATTATGTGGTATTAGGCTTTCCTGTCCCAGCCAAATTTTTGCCTTGACTCATAAGCCTCTCCTACGGAGAGCGTCCCGCGGGGACGCCCCGGGAGAGGCTTTGTTAAGCTAGACATGGTGAATGTCGGAGTCTGCAAGGGGAAGCAGTCCACAATCGACCGCCATGGGCAAGGCTAACTATCAGGTTATTATATGACTAAACTCGTATTCCTGGTGTAGGTATGTCTAATGAGTGCCTCAAGATAAGTTATCATCGTGGCCAGGCTTCATATCTGCCCGGAAAGACAGAGAGTGCATAGTTGATTAACACAAGATTCACCTCCGCCTGCTTGGTCTTCATTTGAGGATATGAGGATCACAAGATGGACTCGGAGGCCTTCACAGGTCTGCTTCACCCGATTGTAAAACCCAAAGAGACAAGATTGGTTACATGTCACTATTCTCGATCCTTTTAATCATCAGATCCATCTGTTTGGCCAAAGTGGAAGTTTCTTCTTCTCCGAAAAAAAAGTCAACTTTCAAGATGACATTTTTGTCCAATTTTTTGGTTGAAAGGATATGCGCAAATAGCTTTCCAGCTGGATTGAGACACAAGCTGATCAATCAGTGAGGTTATAAAAGGGCCACATCCCCTCGACATCTTCCTCGATTCCAAGAAACAACAAAAAAAAAGAATTCAGATAAACTTTGATTGCTCATTGAAGTCTGTGAGGACATCAACTTTTTATATAATAAAACAAGTAACATGACGAAATTCTCAAAAAATAAAAAACTTTGAATGAACATAAATATAACAGAGACAGAGCAAGAATAAGAAAACGCAGGGGACAGAGAGAGAGAGAAATACAGATTTGATAAACAAATATCAATTCAAGTAGATTTGAGGTTGATAATTTAAGATTATAGATAGCAGGCTGAGTTTATCTTTTTTGCTTTTTAGTTGGTGCGCTCATGGGATGGTTCAGTTAGACAGAGTCACAAGTAATGCTGTACCTCAAGTTTTCCCGATGTGTAAATCTGGATCGTCATTGTCGGGTGAGGGGAGTGGTCTTGTGCTTTGGTGAATGCTATCGAGGGACGGGTGATCGACATGAGACGTCGAGCTTTACAGTTGACTTACTGAGGCTGTTTTCGATTGGTCGGTAAGTGACGATATGACGTTCGCGGGCACAGGTGAGGAACGGGTGCATGAGTTCAGGGTAGAGGTGAAGGTGGCGGAGCATTTGTTCTTCACGGGTGTCGGTGCGGTGACGGAACCGATGGAATGTCTCCCAGAGATGACGGCTCACGACCAGTTCAGAATGATTCGGTCCACTGAGCGTGCGTAGAAGCGACTTGAGCCGATCGTAACTCGGTCGTCCTCGACTCGAGTCCAGATATTCCGCAAAGTCCCGATCCTCCCGACTCTCGATTCGGTCGATAAACCGAGCATTCGATGGTCTCTTGCTTCCCAATCTCTCAGACGGCAGTCTACTCGGCGAGGGAGAGCGTCTCCTCGGCGAAGGAGAGCGTCTCCTCGGCGAATGAGAGCGTCTCCTCGGCGAAGGAGAGCGTCTCCTCGGCGAAGGAGAGCGTCTACTCGGCGAAGGAGAGCGCCTCCTTGGCAAGGAAGATCGTCTACTCGGCAAGGAAGAGCGTCTACTCGGCGAGGGAGAGCGTCTACTCGGCGAGGGAGAGCGTCTACTCGGCGAGCGAGAACGTCTACTCAGTGAGCGAGAGCGTGGACGGCGCGCCCGAGTTGGTCCGCCGGGTTTGTAGGAATCATAGACATTTGGACGACGAGAAGTTTGACGGGGAATGGAATCTCGGCGCAACGAGCTCGGTCGACTATCTGGCCGGTACCTCTGATTGGACGATCTACTGGAGGGAGTCCTTGAGCGGCGCCGGGAGCTGGACCCAGTTCTGCTGCTGTAATCGTAAGATGAGTCCCCGAGCCTGCGATATGATGAGGTTGCTGGTGATACCGGTCTGGTTCGATCATTTGGCGTGACTTCCTTGGGAGGGTCAGAGTCTCTCATGTCCATTGGACTCGAGTGGGCTGATTGCGAAGAACGGGGGTCGATGCGCTGAGCCAGATTTGAAGAGTTGGAAAGAGCAGGCCCAACTGCTACTGGCGACGGAGGGGAAGCAATCCGTTCCCTCAGGTTCAAGAGGACTGGTCCGTTTTCGGTCTGATTTGGATGGACGGACGGCGCCTGGTCAAAATCCTCTGTGGGATCATCCTGTATAACCAGGCCCTCAGGGTTAAGACGGCGAGGGGTGATAGAAGGTGGCGGTGGAGTACAGGAGCTCGGATTTCGGATTTCGGCAAGTCTGAAGAGGATGCGGGAATCATGATCAGTGTGTGATTTTTTTAAAAAAAAAAATAGATTCCAAGACAGAAGTGAGTTTTTTGGAGGTATTTCTCTAACAGAAAAAAAGGACCAACCCTTCGGATTCGACATGATCTGAGACGACTGGTAAAGCCTCGCACAGTGTTGGTGGTGTGCAGGGTAATAACTTCTTTTGTCCATTTAAATCGGCACTTCTCAGATCAGGTATAAACCCGCTGTGCGAATTGCTGACTGGCCCGTGTTTATCCCGTTTTTGCAGTGATGGCGGGTCATTATCCGAACGGGGTCCGGGCAGGGGTTCCGATGTAGCGGAGGGAAATGGGGCTGGTTGTGCGGCAAGTTGAGACGGATGATTAATTTCTGTTAAGAAACACAGGAAATATGTATGTGTTAGTCTCGATGGGAAAATTGGTCGGGTGATATTCAACTGGAGTCTGGATGGATTAGATGGAAAGTGGGAAGCTATCCAAGTCCATACCACTCACGAACCTGTACGGATGGCAGCCAGAGGAGCATGTCGAGAGCTTTGATTGGGAAATTCGACTGGGTTGAGTTGAAGGAGCAGGCTGGGTTGTGAGTCGATTATTGACGAAAGTGAATCGGATATCTGGTTCAGACGATCGGAGGTGAGCTTGAAGATGTCGGAGAGCTTTTGTGATAAGCTGAGGAAGCAGGCCGCTGACTCGGACTCATTTTCGATAGACATTTTCAGGCTACTTGCTTTGGGCGGACAGGGGGTGACAGACAGGCAGGGCGAAATGGAGCTACTAAGATGGGTATGTATGTGTCCAGACCAACTGGCGGAGAGATGGGAGGAATGATACTTTCAGAAGGGCGTCATATGAAGAACAGAGCAGTTGGGAGGGAACTGGCTGGATGAAGCCGTTCCAGCAGATTGCAAAATTATGTTGGATATGCTGCCGAGGTTGATCACTTCATCTCAAAGGACTCGACCGCTTCATGAGCAGCAGGTTTCTCGCTGAACTGCATATATTTGCTCGCAGTATTCCGCTTCAAGTTGTGCGAAAGCCTCAGCGATATTCAGGATAGTACATAACTGAACCCAACTCCCCTCCCGCAGGTACATATTAGCGGGGTTCACGATAGCGTTTTTCGCTTCTCGCACCCGTTATTTTTTTTTCTTGCTCGCGCACAGCTGTTGTTAATTTTCCCAGCGAAAATTCAAAATTCTGCGCTAAATTTTATGTCTGCAGCGGTACTGCAGTTTGTTGTAGCAAGGAGCAATCATGATCTTAAGATTACCAGATTACTCCATACTACCATGTAATACCAGTAACCTAGGTATTACATAAGTCTCGCCGAGAGTTACATTCCCCTGTAGTAGTCTATATAAAGCATTTCTATCTTTCTTCTCTTCATTGAAATATACAATACTTTTTCTAGTCCATGCTCTTTTAGGTTATGAGCCTTCTCGTTTGAAGAGCTTTTTTTCTCTTTGCCTGTGTGGCGCTCGCTTTTTTTTCTTCTCTGTTCTTCTTTTCTTGCCTGTGTGGCACCACTTCTTTTCCTGTGTGGTACTTGGCCTGCGTTCTGTTCGTCATCTGTAATTCTTTCGCCATTTCATTAGACGATTGCGTCTTGTCTCCGCGATGATTCGACCTATCTTCCGCAACCCTCTTCTCTGTCTTCTTTCGCTCGTCTTCCTTCTTTCCCTTTTTCCCCTCTTCCTTCCATCATTCCTACCTATTTCCTCACATTTTCACTTCCTCCTACCCCCTATTGCACTCCTCTACTTCTGCTTCTTATTGCTATTTTTTTACTTAGCCTTTGCTCTTCTTTCTCCTGCCGTCGACACCAAATTCCCTATGCCTCTCGTCCGCCATTCCCCTGTTCGCCGCACCGCTATGACCCCCGGTTCCTTGGAAGATGCTGGAGACGCCTCCTTTCACAATGATACGTTGTTGGACGACCAACCCGAGGATCATCCTGATGATCGTCGTGCTCCTCGCGACACCATCGATGACAGGAATGTCGACAGTCGGCGCCGTCATCGCGATCATGCTCCTCACTCCGACAACAGACCGGCCAATGATCGTCACGCCAACAACAGGCCTGTCGATGATCAACGTATCATGGAGGACCAGCGTGGTATCAACTCCATGGTCAACAACGCTATCCAAGAATTCGGCTCCGGCAACTTCTTGATGGCTGATGGCTCCAACTTCCGTTCCTGGACGCGCGACATTGAAATGATCGCGCTCAGCTTCCTTCAGGATAAGGATTTTTTCAATTCTCCATGTGCTCGCCCTCGGATGGAGCCAGCGGGTCGCCGAATCCTTCTTGGTGTCATCGACAGCTCCCTCAAACATGAGCTTTACTCAAAGGATTCCAGCTATAAAATGATGGAGGCCATCAAGGCTCGTTTCAGCTCCGTCAGCAAAGCTCGCATGCTGACCAAGTGGCGTGAGTTGCTCCGAATCAAAGTCGACATGACATCCAACCCCGCCAGCGTTGCCACTCAGTATAAGGCTATCATCGACGAGCTCGGAGATATGGGTGTCTATCTAGCTTATGACGATCTCTTACCGCTGGTACTCCACGACTCCATTCCCCAAGGCTCGAATCTCCGCCTCGAGTTTGACAGAAGGATCGATGCCGAGTTCGCTCTTAATGGCCGACAGGTGATTACTTTTGAGAAAACCTGGCGGATCTTGAGTGAAGCGATCTGTCAGGTCAGGGCTGTGGACACCTTGGACGATTCTCGCAGACCGCCTCAGTTTTTGGCGACCAATCACGAATCCTCAGCTCCAGCTCGGGACGAGCGATCGCCCTCCATCGTCAGTCACCCAGACAATGTATACGCGATGGCTGGGGCTCCTCAACAGTCTCGGAGAATCTGCTTCCGGTGCCGCTCTCCTAACCATTTGATCGGTCAGTGCACCGCTCCTGATCCCAATGCACGTGCCCCGCTGCTTCACAGACCTCAGAACCCGGCCCCTCCTGGTTATAACGCTGGATATAGCCAGCCTGGCTTCCAGGCTTACTATCCTATCTTGGCTCCGTCCGGCTCGGTTCCCTTGTATTATCCTCCTCGCCCGGCTGCTCAGAACCCCAACTCTATCCCTGTTCAACGTGGCCGCATGGATTCATACCGCCCCCAATATGGACAACAATCTGGTGGGGCCCAACCGACGGCAAGGGCTGCAGAGCCGGTTGATCAACCGAACAATCCGTCATTTCACAACCTAGATTGTTCACCTACGCCGGCCGCTGACTCCAACCCTCAAGATTCGCTCTTCGACACTGGTGCCTCTCATCACCTGACTGGTGACAAGTCAGCTTTGTTTAATATTACTGTTTTATCCAATCCCATTCCTCTAAGGGTAGCTACTGATGGTAATGCTAAATTCATTACAGCTCGGGGGTCGATGGCTTTTACTGGGGCCAATGGAACGAGGGTGATTCTTGAGGATGTGTTGTACTGCTCATTTGCCAACGTCACTCTTATCTCCCCTGCTGCTCTTCGGCTTTCTGGTTTCTATTTCTCTTATGACCGCGCATCTGATAGTTTCCTAGTTTTTTCTGGTCATGTATTGTGGGCTGTCTGTCGTTTCAATCCCCACACTCGCAAATGGTCGTTTCCTTCTCCTCATCGCTATCCTTCACCTTCAGTTGGTTTTGTTTCCCCTACCCCTAATACTGCTCCGGCCTATCCTTACTCTGGTTGTACTGTCCTTAACCCTAATACTGTTGTACTCCGAACACCTTCCTTTCGCGCGGCGGACGCTCTTCCTGATAATGAACCTTTTTTGGTTACTGTTCCTGAACCTCGCGGTTCAGATTGGCAAGCTCCCTCCCTGACTGCGAGTGAGAAATACTTGCTCTTTCTGCATAAAAGGTTTGGTCATGTTAGCCTTCGAACTTTGAAGCGCATGATCAAGTTCAAAATGGGGTTAGGTCTTCCCAATAGCCTCCCGCCGGGTAAAGTACTGTGTTCTTCGTGCTTGATTGCCAAAAGTAAGATGGTTCCGACACTACAAAAGGAAGGTCGTGTATTCGGGAGACTGGAGGCCTTGACTGTGGACCTGGTCGGCCCGTTTGAAGTACCAACAATGACTGGAGGGCGTTATGTGTTAACTATTAGGGATATAGGTACCGGTTACAACGAAGTCAAGATCCTAGAATTAAAATCAGATGCGACACTACTAATAATGAAAACAATACAACGACTGGAGAGATCTACGGGCTTATCAGTAAAAATTGTTAGGTCTGACAATGGAGGAGAGTTTAACGGGAAGTCGCTTGGTGATTTTCTGAAAAACAAGGGTATTGTAGCGGAACGAGCTGTTGCGTATCATCATTACCAGAATGGCGTTATTGAACGCTTCAACCGAACCTTGCAAGAAACAGGCCGGACTCTCCTTGTTGACAGCGGCTTGCCCAAGGCTTTTTGGGGTTTGGCTTTTCAGTGGGCAGGGATGGTTCTAAATCGGATACCGAACAAAGCTAGCGGAGATGTGACACCCTACGAGAAACTCTTCAACCGGAAACCTCTACTGGATATACTTCGCCCATTTGGAGCGAAGGGTTTTGTACACGTAGTAGAAGACCACCGGCAGAAACTTGATGATCGAGCGCTGGAAGGCATACTTGTGAGTTGCCTGACCGACAGCCGCGGCTGGTGCTTCTGGATACCATCGGAGGATCGATTTGTCAATTCGGCAATCTGTAGGTTCCTGGACTTGGACGATAAAAACTTGGTTCCTGCGGAGATAACTAGACGAGAATGAATCGAAGTCCCTGTTGAGAACTTGTTCGAATGTGTCATAAACAGGTTTTCATTAGGAGATTTCTCCGACGAAATTGAATTTGACAAACAGGAACAACTAGTGGCAGCGCTTACTCAGACAACGGGCGACGGTTCCCTACCGAAAACATACAATCAAGCGCTAAAAGATAAAAACGCTACGGAGTGGATCTTAGCCATCAAGGAAGAATTAAAGAACCTACAAGATCTTGGCGTGTGGGATGTGCGACTCGTTCCAGACAACACTCGGGTGCTTGGGGCTTGTTGGGTTTTCGCGAAGAAACTGAACGATGAGGGTCAGGTTACGCGTTTCAAAGCACGATACGTTGCTAAAGGTTATTCACAGATTGAAGGAGAACACTTCGGCAGTACTTTTGCTCCTACGGCAACGTTTATCTCCATGAGACTGATATTAACAATTGCCGCAAAAAACAATTGGCCAGTGCACTCTTTTGACTTTGTGGCGGCATATCTAAACTCGCCGATAGACGAGGAGATTTGGGTTGAAGCGCCTAAAGGATTGGACGTGCCGAAAAATTTTGCATGTCGACTGAACAAAGCTCTGTACGGTACTCGACAAGCCGCACGTTGCTGGTGGAAACACCTGAGTGGTATACTGGAGGGACTAGGCTACCACTCTTCTCAATACGATACAAGCGTATATTGTCTAACAGGGGGAAGTAGTGGAGCTATTTGGATCCACGTAGATGACGGCATCATCACTGGACCAAGCGAGGAACAATTGAGAAAGCTGGAAAGTCAACTTAAGGACTCGATCAAGATCAAATGGGCTGCAGGGCTGGATAACATTGTTGGTATTTCTATACAGAGGGATGACAAAGGTTTTACTTTGAGACAACCAAACCTGACTAACAAAATCTTGTCGGAGCGATGGGACGGGATCACAACGGCTAAAACTCCCTTCCCAAATACATCTCTGCCGGAGACTAATCCAGACACTGCTGGCGAAGACCCTACTACCTACCTGTCAGCCTCTGGGTAACTAACCTGAGTATTTAATAGT